AGTTGGTGATCAGCTTCCTGTGCCTGACACACGCCGTCGACTTTTGGGATCTAAAGCAAGCCGGTTTCCTCGCGATGTTTTCCTTCACCGTTCAAGCGAATGTTAAATGCGCACATATAATGTCCATTGGTGCACAGCCGGGGATCGAACGACCTCAGGGATGAGAGTCGCACGCTGAAGCCACTAGGCCAACATTGCTCTTGAGTTATTATTAATAATAGTAAATCTTTGAACTTCTAATATTTCCATAGACAATTGAAAATGTAGTTCATTCCTATAAATGCATAATGTTTTCTGCCCCTTAGTTTCGCAATCCCTAAAGACTTAGAAGCTTCTTAATGTTGTGTTAAGTTCAAGTAAACAGGTTGCAAACGTTAATTAGAAAATTTAAAAGGCGGACGGGTTCCCTGCTTGAATCTTTAATCGCAATTATGTCACAGTTTTTGTGTAATGGAGATGGTGAAGACGGTGTTACTAATTAGGAGCGAATGTTTCAACGTTATCTTAAGCCCTTTTTACACCAGTTTTGTGCGTTGCTTGAGGAGTGAGGGGAAGTAAAGACTTTGTTTGTTTCTTAATAAACGCGTATATGTTTTGGATCATGTGTTTAAGCATTTTTAGAACAGGCTTGCTTAAGCGAATTAATATAATTAATATACTTGTTATAAAGTAAACTATGTGCTACACCTATCACTACTTAAAAATATTTTAAACTAATAATCTATAAAATAAAATAATCTCTGATATATATTATATTTTATATTAAGTTACATAGTATATATATTATAACAACTATAAATCTAACGACTAAAGATGGCACAAGGTCACTTTTAATAAAATAAAGAATAAGAGAATTTTCTCATCGTTAATTTGATAAAATAGTTACACATTTATTAATATTATCATAATGAACACTTCATATTACTAAGTATTTACAATATACTTGACCTATTTAGTAAAATATATAATTATTAATAAATAGAAAATTTAAGCAAATTTCAAAAGTTTGGTCCCTATGGCAGCGTACCTTTCACGCTGGTAGCATTTCCTGTATTGCGATACTTATTGAGTGAGGAAATCACCAGCTCTGGGGTCACCAGTACTATCTACCAGTTGTCAACTTAAATCTGTGCACTTGAACCCCACGGCCCAAGAGTCTCTACTCCAAAGAGAACAAAATCGAAGTTGGAGGACTCTTATGTTTAATTAAATATGATAATTAGAAAATAGACACCTCCTAATGTCTTTAAGTAAACATAAGATATCACATAAAACACAATTCTGTGATAGCGTAATGCGCGTAGGAAGCGGCGCATGAGCTACCTGAAGTAATCAACTACCAAACAAAATTTTGTGGAAACGTTACATGACTTGATAGGCATCAGCAATTTTTTATAATATCGTGCACAGTACAAAGTTAGGTGAGTCAACAATTAACGTACAAGAACACTCAACACTAAATATTGCAAAATATGTAAACATAATTTTCCTCTCAGAAAGGAGCTCGTTAAAATTTAAAATACACATTCAAATCACTTACTGTAGCTAATTAGAGTGTAAGTTTAAATTTAGAAGCATTGAAAGTTTCCACCTTACTTTAAATTCAAATTAAAAACTGCTTCAGTCGGAATAACTTTTAACAGACCTCTTAAATTTTATGTTAAACGGGTCGTTTGACAAAATTCATAGAATACTATAACGATACAATAAAGGGGGTTTAAATTCAATATCGACACTCCTGGATCGAATGAGCAAATCCCTTTCGACACATGAGTGTTTTTATTTAGCTTTTTATCGCCTTCATCGTGGCTCGGTGGCTCTAGTATGAGTTTAAATCGAAAATATCGCGTTTTAGAACCTTATTCTTGATATTTTTATAACTAAGCGTTTGAATCATATCATCTGAGTGACAAATATATTAAGATTAATAAATGATTATTACCACTTCAAATTGTGTTATAAACGTTAATGATCCCATTGTATTTCTTGATATGGATGAGGTAGCTATTTTTTTTAAAGTCTATTTTAGTTACGCAGTGTTGCCCTAGTGGCTTCAGCGTGCGACTTTCATCCCTGAGGATGTAGGTTCGATCCCTGGCTGTGTACAAATGGACTTACTTTCTATGTGCGTATTAACCATTCGCTCTAACGGTGAAGGAAAACATTGAGGAAACGGGCTTGCCTTAGACCCAAAAGTCGACGGTGTGCGTCAGGCACAGAAGGCTGATCACCTAACTATTAGATTAACAAATGATCATGAAACAGATACAGAAATCTGAGGCCCAGACCGAAAAAGGTTGTAGCGCCATTGATTTATTTTAATGTTTAATTTAAGTTAATAGTAAATAAATATATTTCAGTTTCAAAGACGATAACGTTTCATTCAACTCTCACTAGGCCCGATTGGAATGAAGTCACATTACCGTTCGATTTCCATAAGTGCAGTCAATTCAGCTTGCATAATGATATCTCCCGAAATATATTGGTTTCTTTCCCGACACATTGGTTAAAAATCTTTCAAAAAAGGGTACGGTATAACTAGTAAGAGGCTGTTAGTACACATTCATATACTATAAAAATTACCACTAGATTCATCCAATCAAGGTTCCATTCCTGGCAAAACAATTATTTCGGTCTAAAACTACGCAGGAATGTCCCATTGAAAGTTACACAATAAACAAATGTATCTTGATAGAAAACATGAATATTCCAATTATATTCTCGGTCTAATTAATCTTGCATCGCGGCTAACAAGGGAACCAAACAAATGACAGTCGTTTCCTTGTAGACATAGTGGCCAAAGATCGGACGTCTCAAGAATAATTGGTACGTCTTACCCCAATGCGGTCAGGGGTCAAACTGATATTAATTAGTTTGACTTCAGTGGTTGAGCTATTGCTTGCTTGACCTCCTGTTTTCCTGGTACATGGCATAATTAATTGGTACTTATTTTTAAGTTATAAGGAACAAATTAATACATTCAATAGTTTTGTGAAAACACCTATAATCTACAGCCACAAATCACTGCGATGATGTTATACTTTGAAACGCGCTAATAAGTTTCCGCCGCTAAGGATATACAACTTCTCAAGCTTAGCTACTGGGGCCTTAGGGCCGGCCAGTCGGTGATTAGACTGGTCAAGGATCCTTCCTTAAGGTTAGAAAAACTGTTCACCATCCGTCCTCCACATTATTTGGTAAAGGACGTAGTTTATACAGTATTCGATACTACCATGGGCTCGATTCGATTCGATCGCAATGCCCCCGGAGAGGGATCGCGAGTGCGCTGCCCGCCTTTTTTCGATGCCCAATGAATTTGCCCATTCCCAAATTAACAATGAGTAATTAAAACAAATAAAATGAAATTAAACAAGTGCAAACCGTACTCAATAGCTACTGGTCAATTAAACAGAAGCGGTTGTGAACGAAAATCTTATTAAGCTGTTCATTGATTTTTTTCTTTAGTCTAAAAAATTACGTATGCCCGCATTGCTATCAATCTATCATATAAATGATAACCATCCTAATGAGGGAAGGCGATAGGTCCAAGGTGGATGCAAGTCCAGATAACTGCATAAAGTTTTAGAGTACTAAATTTCGTTAAACAATAATGATGATAATTAATATGTAAAGCTATATTATCTTATTGTATATTTATAATATGTTATTTACAGTATTCTTAACAAAAGTTTAATTAATTTTGATAAAACCTAATATAATTAACGTATATAAAGTAATTCTAGAGTTAACATAAATTAATATAACAAAAAACAATAACTAACCTTAAAAATAATTACTTAAATATATTATTAAAAGGAGTCCCCTTAGGGAAGGTTCCGAAGATACTGGTAGCGTTCCCCCTTTGAATAGCTAGACTAAATCTTTGTCCGAGGTAGCTGCTAGCTCTTCGGTCTCCTGTCATGTCGACTAACCTTTTTGCTATTTCCTTAAAAAACCTTATAGTTCTAGGACCCTACGGACCAAGGGTCTCGACACCGAATGGAACAAAATCATATTCGGAGCCTAGACCCCTTATCTTATTGTTGTATTAAATAGTAATACAATGTAGAAGTTACAAGTACATATTCTACAACGCGGTTTCTCAAATGTTCAAACAAAGACTAGTTTAAAATTAAATACTAGAAAATTTACATAATCGCTTCGGGCTAAATGAAATCTTACACTTTGGTCTTAGAAAGCTCGGATGTTGCTTTTGTAAACAAGTTGATTTAGTTGAAACAAGTAATTAAATTTAATACTATATCTAGTCTGTATTACTTTGGTAAAAGGAAATTAGCATGTTTTATTATGATAAAATTGCAAATTCGAACCCGGAACGATACGATATACATACTATATATAAATGGTGCTAATTGTATTAAATGAAATGATCAAGAAATAATGAGAAGAGTTAAAAGTACGTGGAATAAATATTGGAGTTGCAAAGAAATATTTAAAAGTGATATACCTATAATACTTAAGAGGAGATTCATGGACTCATGCCTTCTGCCATGCATGCATAAGCATGCCACACATGGAAATTTACAAATAAAACAAAAAATAAAATAATTACATGTCAACGAGGCATGGAAATTACATAAAAACTAGACAAGAGACGAGAGCAATTGATGCTCTAAGCCACGCAAAAAAATTGAAGTGGAAGTGGGCTGGTCATGTAGCGCGCCTCACAGATCATAGGTGGACGAAAACAGTAACTACATGGAGTGGCCGACCACGCAAACGATACAGAGACAGACCCTACGCTCGATGGGATGATGACATTAAAAAATCACGGGTCCTCACTGGGTCCAAATAGCTCGGGATAGAGAAAGCCTTGGAGGAGGTCTTTGCCGGAGAGAGTTCCTGATACTTACTAACTGTAAAAGATATTCACTAACACATGAGATAATTAGATAGTTTTGTATTAGGAAATAAGATAAGCTTAAAATAAAAATAAAATTATATTAAATAATCTCTAACTCAAGTTAGTTAGTTCAAATATGAACTCCTTGGCCTTTACTCTGCAACTTCCAGTATCGGAATCACGGTATCCATACACTTACAGCAATTCCGGTCCAAAGTAAGTTGTTATTACGCGCGATAGTTGCAACATCAGCCCTACGGATATTGAAACTATATCGAACTTCCATACAAAAACGTCGTAATCGATATCGGTGTCCTTATAGGAAGTAACAGAGTATTTACAGACCTTTTATTTACGCAAGTTTGTGCGTCCGTACTGTGTTCGTCATTAGACACATACCTATAACATGTAGCGTCCACGACATTCATCATTTCTCCGAGGTTCGAACCCAAAATCTTTACCCTGAAGTATAAAAAGTGTGTAAGACTAACCTCCTTATTAAAAACTTCAAAGTATGGATTTGTATCCTTTTAGTCACAGCATAAATACGATAGAACAGAAAGAGACAAAAGAGGTAGGTACTCTTTGTGCCCCTGGAAGGAACGTTGAACAAATTATAGTACTAGGTAGCTATGAAAATGTATTTCCCCTAAGGTTATTATGACTGAAAAGTTTCAATAACTCCACCGTTTGCGACCACAGCTTATCTTGTAACAAGTTGCGTCTATGGGCAACTAATAAAAACTTACTACTCGATTGCTTCAAACCACTTTAAATTCAAATTGTTGAATAATTTATCTTAGGAGTTTATATTATATTCTCTAAGGAAATACAAAAAGTACATTTACAATTAACAATACGTATAATATAATTGTTGTAAATCAAAGTAGATATTAGAATAAGTGTATGGAAAAATATAATACCCCTTTCTATTTATGGGGCCGTTCAAATATTACGTAAACAGATTTACTGCAATTGATTCCCCCCTCCCCTCTACCCTTGTCAGCATAAGTAAGAAAAGCTCTCAAAAATAAACGTATTAATTTTTTGTAGGAATGCATTTCGTTTACAAGCAAAGACAATGTGTGGGTAATATGTCTAAAAAAGTAAATAATTACTGTTGACATAATCACCAAATAAGAAAATCAAAGACCCCCCCTCACTCCTATAGTAACGTAATACGTATGACATCAGTACAAGATTTCATATTTTAAATATAAACATCTTAAACAAGGTGTAAGGTATAGGTAAAGATATTTAAACTAGTATGGACATAACATCTAATGTCAAGTGAAGCAGTGGCTTTCATTAATATTTTAAATGACAAAATGCTCACATTTTAATAAGGTACTGAAAAGCCCAAGAGCACAAATTGTCTATAGAAAAACGGAAGTTTTTTAGTAGGACAGAAACGGAAGTGTGTGGAAATGGCATTCAATTTAAAGAAGAGCTGGGCATGTTTGCTAATTCATTATGTCTAGCACGGGGGCGTGAAGGCGACATATTGAATTGCGAAGGCTTTAGAATTAAACCCGGTTAATTAACAAATGCTTCCTCTTAGCCGCTATTTTGTTCCTTGAAAAGGCATTTGTGTCTCACAAGATTTGTATTCTAATTCATAAGCGAAAAGCGATATAAAATGTTTTGTTTTCTAGATTTTCTCGTATAGATTTAAAACATGTTTGTGTTTCACTTGGATAATAATAAATCTATAAATTTGTGCTCATACGACGGGCAATAAACTGTTGATATTTGGACATAATATGGAATGTCTGCTCTCTAGTACATAGTATGTGCGATTAAATAATATAACAATATAACAATTGAAGCCCTAAATCCACTGTGTTTTTCTTTAATATTTTAAGTATGAATTCCCTGTGTTGACTTTCAATGCGTCAAAACAATTACCTAAGCTAACATAAGCATTAAGCAATTCTAAATTATATAATATTAATGTTTGATAAAAGTAATGGACTGATCGTAAAGTGAATTCAAACAAATAAAATCGCGCGGCGCTTATATCTGCATTGTGTAAAATGACCCTATTTATCCAAAGATGATCTACTATATGCAGCGGGGCCGTTATGTCAACTTGAGATAAATTTTAACGGAAAGGCTTTATTATCATAGACATGAATACAAATATTTCATTCTACCTTGTTACTACAGAAGTGGGAATGTATTATAGAACTTAATGTAATAGCAGTTATTTCTAGTTCATTAAAAACGTAGACGATTAACTACAGAAGAAATCTTTCCCTATTGATAATAGAAGTTGATTCCAAACAGTTAAAAAAGAATTCAAAAACACACTTATGATGCATTGTTTAACCGAAAATTGAGTAAGTACATAATTTTGTCCAACCTCGATAAATATAACTATAATAAACCGCTTGCTTTATCTGTATCCGGCAAGCGTCAGTTCACAATGTACATCAATTGGTAATAAAAAAACAGCCGGGGGCCGTTGATCGTACTTGAGGGCGTGAAAATTTAGAGGTTGTATGCTGTGTAAATGCTGTATCATAAAAAATAAAACTAAAATTTCCTCACAAGTGGAAAAAGAATGTGAATTATTAAGAGGTGCGACTACCCTTAACATTTAGGGGGATGAAAAATAGAGTTATCCAATTCTAGAAATACAGAAGCAAACAAATTTATGTCGGTAAGCATTTAGGAGGATTAACTACAAACACCGCGACACAAATTACATTGTAAAAAAAATTATGATGCATTGTTTATAATGAATAATTTAGGGGGGATGAAATATAGATGTTGTCCTATTCTGAGAATGATGCGTATTGATGCACACAAAATTTCATGAGAATCGGTCAAGCCGTTTCGGAGGAGTTTAACTACAAACACCGCAACACGAGAATTTTATATATTAGATGTATATTTTACAGTAGAACGAAACTCCTTTGTCAGCTTTATAAAACGTCTATGAAAATACAAGATAAGTTTAGAAAGGCATATTTTTCATTCGTCAATGTCATCGATGCAAATTATTTTGTTTTTTTCGAGGATGATAGAATAAAATGATATAAATCAAAACTAATAAATAACTATACAGTTTAAAACAATGAAACGGTAAGTGCGTTACCATGATATATTTTAACCAACCATAATTTTTATTTTAAAAACATGTATTATTTTATCATGTGTTTGGTTTCAGAAATAACGGTGAGCGTTTGACTAGTAGGACAAGTGTCAATAAAAGTAAGCAAATTACAAAAGAATCTACTGTAAGGAACATTAAGAAGGACAGCAATGATTCCACAGTACCGAATAAAAATCCTTTCAAACTACCGCAACATAAGCTGGTGTTTAGCAAACCTATTAAAAAGAAAAAAGAAACATTTACTAATTATAAATTGGACGAGCCAAAGACTATATGTGATGTAGATGAAAAATTCTATAAGATTATAGAAGGACGTCCACTTAGACAATTTTCAGACATAAAAGTCTATATGACGAATATAAGAGATATAACCCTATTTAAGGCAAATGCTGCTTATCTTAGGGATGAAATACTACAAATGGTTAATTCTAAATCAGAGGAGATGGAGGAATATGAAAACATTTTAAAACTTTATACCAGCGTTAGATCTAGTTTTATAAGTTTTATTAGAAACGGCTATAGAAAAGCTAAAAGAAGTGAGCAACTTTGCAAAAAATTAGAAATTAGAATCTGTGATGTAACTGAAGAGTTGAACGAATACTGTTTCATATACAACAAACTTAGATGTGAAGTTGATGATTTAGATGCAATTTTTGATTTTTTATCAAAATATGGTGAATTCCTTTATGATATATCTCCTAATGTTTGGAAAAAATCGCGTAGAATTATGTTTCTTAAAGCATCAGGGCTTTTAAGAGCGCTATCGTCTGACGTCTACACTCCATCCAAACCATCTATTAATAAATACGATGGCTTTATAACAGCTTTCAAAACAAATGAGCCGCAATTGTATTTTAAGAAACCAGCGCAGTTGTATTACATTTTTGATGAATTAAGTAAACAGTGCCTTAATTACATGCAAAAAGAAGTTTTTATAACTAGTCTTAAGAATAATGTTCTAAGACGAAAAGATTATCTAAAAAAAGTTATTGAATGGGAAGCTGATGGATTAAAGTATGCTGTTGACTATTACGAGAAACAAATACGTTTCTATGAACTGAAAGAAGCTACATATAAAGCTAAGTTTTACTCAGTGTTAAACAATGATTTTTATAACGTCTTCGCCTCTTACGAAGCAACAAAAATGTTTACGTGTTTGCAATATGCACATACACAGATAATAGGCTCTCAAGAAGATCCCAAGGATAATATCAAAATGTTAGCTCGAAATTTAGAAAGGCAGTTTATCGAAATTATGTCTCAGTTCGACGATTTAAACCAAAAAGTTGTAAAAATAGCAACGAAAGAGCTATTTGAAGAAGACAGGAAAATGATGAAACAAGCACTTTTTGCGCAGAGAACCTTGAAAGAGTGTAACATTCTAACAAAATCTTTGTACTCTAGTTTTGAACCTCCACGGCCACGGCGAAGACAGCAAATAACTAAGAAGACAGTATCTATGCATAAGTTTCTGATCTAGTAATTCATGGTGAATTATACAGCAAACACGGTTTCTTGAATATCTAAATAAGCGAAATTATTCTTATTTATTATTATTGTTCGTATGCCTAAGGCGGATTATTCTAGCAAGTAATTACCATAAGCTAAGTTAGGTAGATGATTGTGCGTTTTCTCGCAAGTGTTTACGCTACGGTCGTCACTCTGGCACAAAACGTTTACTTTCATGTATACCTTTTCATAAGAGGAGAAACCTTAGTTATTGTATAACAATGAGAATTTAATCTTAATTTTTAGCAAGAAAAGTTTTTTTGTTAGTCATAGCAAACACACACACAATTCACAAACTATTATTATCGTTGAAATTATTTAATAAAGATATAACGATCTGAGTATTTTGTTGCAAATTGAATAATTTCGTTTTTGATTAAGCTTCGGAGCGGGGACAAAAACTTCATATTGTGTCAATTTAACTTCTAATCACTTTTTAAATACGTTAGCAGCGAGACGCTCGTCCGATCAACGAATAAATTTGAATGTATTAACAAACTGATTGAGACCCCGCCTTCTTGCTGACAACTCGAGGGGAACAAAATTGATTTTTTTACTTTATATTCACATCTTAGTTGTTAAGATGTAATTATGCTGCTGTGTTGAATAAAATTTAATAAATTCACCAATTTTAACTTTTCCATTCGCAAAGCGTAATTGTTAAAACATTTGGTTTGGCAGAGGACGAAATGAATTCAACTTTGTGCCCCTAAAAGTCATCTCGCCGATATATAACGTTATATCGTCGGGCGCGCAATTATAAATATGAAATATGAGTACTTTGCATCCCACAGTTCAACTTATATGAAAAACTTGGAGCTATTAAGACAATGCAGACTATTCTATTTCTAATATCCGAGGCATTCGCTCGAGAGTAAAAATATTTAATACTCATTTGGGTTCATGCTCATTGACGGTACTTGGTTAATAGAAATTCAATTTATTATTTAAACAAAAGTACCGTGAAATGCCGGAGGTTTAATGCACGCATACCTCTGTTATTAAACCGGCCCGCTCGGAACAAAGGGAGCAGTGGAGCGTCGATTGATAATTAATATTGTTTTATTATAAGCTGCGTATCTCGTAGACGCAACGCGGCTCGCGAATTTGAGCTCAGCCATGTGTGCTAATTCAGTTATATTATGCTTAGACGAATTGATGGAAGATGTTTATAAGACCTTTCGGAAGGTTTAATTTAAATTCTCTTAAGCCAATTTTAAATTTCCGCCAACTGATTTTAGCCTCGTTTATTGTTATCAATTATCCAATAGGACTTTACGATGTTATTGCTAATCAAAACATTAAATAGAAACGTAACAAAAGAAATGTATTTTAAATTTCGTGTCACATCTAATGACATTATCATAGCAGCATAAACTTGACATTTTCATTTTCAGAGCGAAATAAAGATGACAATTATCTGCAAACATGCTAAATAAGTTCATTGCTCTGTTATAATGGAATAGTAATGGATATTCTATTTGCGTAGAGCCTAATCGATGTCAGCCCTCGTCAAGTTTTGGGTAAATCTCAATGAAACTTTATTTTAGAAACCTTGAATGTTTGATGGTTTAATAAAGGCAATACTTTAGTTAAAACAGAGTTATTTTGTATTGAAGCCTTTTTTATTTCTGTGACCATACCTAATATATAAAAATTACGCGTCACGTTGTTTGTGCGCTATGGACTCCTAAACTACTTAACCGATTTCAATAAAATTTCCACACCGTGTGCAGTTTGAAGATAGGATAGCTTACATATATGTGTGATTCTGGACCGATTCAAATGATTTTTTTTAAAGGGGAAAGATGGTTTAGATTCACAAATACGTACTTTCATACTTTGTTTAATATCCTAATCGCTTGAAATATCATGCAGGACAACGTCTGTCGGGTCCGCTAGTAATAATATAATCCAATAAAATACAAAACAGAAACAAATTGTTCTACAGCCCTGGGACACCTAGGCTTCTTCTAGCTCTCTTCATTTACTTCTATCCCAGGCAACTAGTCCACACCGCAGCTTTGCAGATCATCCCCCCATCGCCTGAGCTGTCTACCTGTTTTTCTTTTTCCATCTCAAGGCCGCTATTCAGTAGTGAATTTTAACCATTTTCCACGACTTGCTTGTGCCATGACATGACAAGAGCAAGTCGACCATCGCCATTTTAAGCGTCTTATTTTCTGGAATAAATCTTCCACATTTTAAATATTTCTGACTTTGTCTGTCCTTACGTGGTCTTTTAGAGTGACACTCAACTCCTTTTCATTCCTTATTGGCAGATACGCTTTAGGTGTCTGTGATTGAGTGCCCATGTTTGGCATTCATATGTGGCATGGCATTTTCTTTACCGAAATGGAAAAGTATTTGCTTTTAAATATCAATTTCAGTATCTGTTTGATCTCTGAAAGATACTGGCCCATATATACATAATTGTCGACGAATTGAATGCTTTCTCCATCCACCAATACCACAATTTTTTCGCTCTATTTGTCACCACTTTGTCATGGTTTTATTATTGTGAAGCCAACTTTTATACTTGCATTTGTCGTTGGAGCATTTGTTGCAGGTTTACAGCGTTATCAGCTATGAGCATAAGGTCATCTGCAAACCTGAAGTGGTTAAGTTTTTGGCCATGTACATTTATTCCAGTTTAGGATTCTAAACTGAGGAGTTTTGGATATAAAGAGTTCTTAATAATATATTTAAATAGTATTAAAAATAATTAATTGTCATCGCTATACCAAACATATTAAAGGCATACGTGCAATCCTATTAAAAGGAAATCGACTCGTGTGACAAAGTCAAAAAATAAAGTTAAAATAAGCAATATGTTTTTATTATATATGCTTTATCAAAGCAGCAGATGGTAAATATTGACAACTACGTTTTAAGGAATAAACATATAATTGATAATATCTTATACTAGGAAAAAGTTAGCAAAACTATAACAAATTTTAAAATATGTATGACATTTAATTAAACAAAATATTTTAGTTTTTTTGTAATCCTGAGACAACGGTCTCACGCAAATCAACATAAGAATGTTTTGACTTGTTTCACTTTCAAATTGACACTAGTGATGAGTGATGAGGTATATTCAATCAAAGAACTTTAGCACTCGATCTATCATCTATAATAATATTTCAGTTAATAAAAGCTTGAATATCATATAAATAATAAATAATAAAAATCACTTTATTTGACGACAAACAATTACATTTTGTACTTACATTCTAAAGGTTATAAACATACAATATGCACTATAAAATTCAGTGTGGTGTGAATTTCGGCGCTAAGATTCATATATTATAAACAGTAAGTCCCCTGCGGTGGCCTGAGTTTAGGGTCAGACGTGTGTAGCTTGATTGATAGCGGTGATTTCGCCCCTAGAGCTAACTAATTGCTATTTTAGCCTTTAGATGCAGCCATAATTCTACAACAGATTATTGAATTTGTCTGACTACTATCGATTATAGGTACTATTACGATTTATATTTATTTATTTCGTAATCCTACAGCTAACATGAATTATATATAATAACAAACAATTACACTAAAAATATAGCCAGAGATGGAATACATTTAACTACTAAAAGGTTCAAAAATTTACAAAAGGAAACAAACTAATAAAAATTATTCAATCTATTCAACTAAGTAATACTTAATTTGGCTGTGTTGTGTGATGGTTTAAAGGGAGGGTATGTACGTGAAGGTGTGTATGTGGGGTAAGCTCATGATGCAGGGAATTTTGCGCTATGGATATTCTTAAATATTGGTAAAATAACTAAATATTGGTCGTTGCATGTCCGGGCTTCGCGATAAAAAACTGAGTTTCAAGCCATTTATTACAATGTAATGTTTAGGTAAACAATCGTCCTTAGGTATACGATAATTACAAAAGTATTATGTGCCGAATAGCAATAAAAATTATGTTATTTAAGTACAATTTTGGCGAAGTTAAATTAATTGTATTAAGGGGATAAAAAGTTAACACACGATAAACTTATTTTGTTTTAACATTTTGCAATGAACCCAATTTCAAACACTAAACTCACTGATCATTAAGTACATTTTCGTAAACATCAATCATCGCGAACCGGTTAAAGTGTATATTTTGACGTTCAAAAATTCACAAAACGATATTGAAATTTTGCGCGATTCAAAACAGATCTGTGGCACGCATGACTGATACTAACGGCACAATGATGCATTGGACCCTTTGACGCTATTTTTTAACGGGGAGACTCTCCATTAATCTTCAACCCTGGTACAATTAGGTATAAAAATTGTATATTAAGCGAGAGCCATTAGAGCACGCATGTGCAAGATAAATGACTCAAGGTGCTGATATATGCAATAGGATATTGAAAATGTGATTGATATAGTCTGTTTAGGCGAAAGTGGTTTATCGTTGATTCAAAAGTCGCGGACTCCATAGAATTTTATAACAGTGGACCATTAATTTTATACGTAGCTATTTTAAGAAATAGTGATAACATATTCCTGGTTGTAATTGATAATTCCATATAATTAATTGTTTAATTCATAGTGATTAACAAGTAATTTTGAACTTCCTGACATGTATATAACAAAATGGCTTTTATAGCAGGCTTTATGTGTGTAATAGGACCGCACATATCACAAGATATTAATAAGTAATTTAAAAATAATACAGGAACGAGACAGGTGATATAGCTCTTTCCTTACGTGGGTTGTGATTTGATTTAATATATCGTTAATGGCTTAGATACGCGACTGTTCGCACTGATTGCTAGACTCCCCCGAGGCGTTAGCTATACGTGGTTTTAAAATACTTTATCATACTTAAGAGTGTTTTCTGTATACATTTAGATTAAGTTAGAATTTATTTGTACAGAGAGGTTTATGTAAGACAAATTGCACGGGACATATTTTGAAAGTTATTCGCTGAATTCAAGTCGCTTAAGAAGATTTAGATTTGAATAAATT